TATATATATATATATATATATATATATATATATATATATATATATATATATATATATATATATATATATATATATATATATATAGTCAACAGACTTTAAATAGTCAACAGCAAATCAATTGCGCGCTCGACGAAAAACGACGTTGAGTCAATGGTACGGTCAAACTCGGGTTCGGTCAAATGTTTATAACCCGATCCAATAGCCATCGTTTTATGATCATCACCACTCCGAAACCAATCTGAACCGTCCACTATCCTCGACCTCTTAACCGCCGCCTAGCCGAACGCATATATAACGCAAGCCCTGTCCTCTCGTCTCCGTCGACGGAGGGATTCTTCGAGCGAGCGAGGGGATTGGAGATCGAATTCGAGATGTCGTACGACGATGTGGAGATCGAGGACATGGAGTGGAGCGAGGAGCTGCAGGCCTTCACCTACCCCTGCCCCTGCGGCGACGTGTTTCAGATCACCAAGGAGGACCTCCGCCTCGGCGAGGAGATCGCCCGGTGCCCTAGCTGCTCCTTATTCATCACCGTCGTCTACAACCCCGAGGACTTCGCCGCCGACCCACCCGACCCCAACAACAAGAAGACCCCCGTCCAGCCCTCGCCTGTTGCTGTCGCTTGAGGTTAGGGCTTTTATCTCTTTGTTCGTTTCCATCGTCCAAGTTTTGTTGTTTTTGGGCATTAGACATTAGAAAGTCGGAAGGTAGAGAACCAATAGGGAAGACCAATCTTTCCTTTTCCTGTTTTCATGGTAAATGAACATAAATTTTAGTGGAATTTATTGGTTGGGCCTCACTATAAGTAGGATAAGACTGACCGTCTGTTGTTCTGTTTTGTTTCATACATGCCATTAACTTGTTTTTTATAAGGAGGAAGTTTAATTATTGTTTTTGTTTTCTTTGTCAGAATACGAACATGCCCAAAAAAACCAAAAACAAAAACAAAACGAAAAAGAAAAAGAAAAAGAAGCTATTTGCATGTGATGATTTGCAACTCTTAGGAGGATAACTAGTAGCTCAATTCTTCTATGCAATATTAAGTTCATCATCGGGTTTTATATTCAGAAGGTCACATATAATAGAACAGTCATGGAACTAAAATAGGTACTCATTTGATATGCAATTGGGTATTATGAGGCCTTGATGGAGTGGAGACCAACCATATTTATTTCGTTTGCTTGGAAGGGAATAACAGGATTGTTAATAACAAGTGATGTGTAGGACTAGCAACAATGGATTTTTTTTTTTAATAGAGAGAATAGAAAGATAGGAAAGAAAATAATAATCGAATTATAATTAAAAAAATAAAGGGATAACACTCTGGCTTAGGGAGCAAACTCCCAAAATGATGGTTTGCACCTCCGCACATAGATGATGGAATCATGCTATGTGAAAAACAAATGTGATCTTGTGGTGAAAAGAAATCAATTTATTGATTCATCTGAATCCAAGGCTCAAGTACAAGAAGAGAAGGAAAAATATAAAAAAATAAAGAATTATAATTGTTTCAAATCAAATGTATGATTTGTTCTTGTCTTTGATTAAGAAGATAATATCCTTGAATTGATTTGAAGGATATATATATTTTTTAGTGATATTATTGATTTATAGACTTAACATGTCTGCAACAATCAAATGAAAAAAAATGAAGGGAAATATCTGCAACATTCAAGATAAGTCATTGATACTGACTAGTCTTGATTCAAGAGATCGTTATTCAGGACCTTGTTGTATATCTTTTGCTTTATCTACTAGAGGTTGCTTAGAGGGAAGAGGCTGTACATGACAATGATTAAAAGTGAAATGAAAAAGGAAAGAAGTTCTTTTCATGATTAGTGTACAACCAAGATCCACTATCTTATGTTTATAAGCAATTACTAGAGGTTGCTTAAAGGAAAGAGACTGACCATCTTTTTCTGGTGCTTACCTGTTGGTTTGTGTTTGTTGGTGGTTTATATGAATTTTCAGGCAAGTATCATTTTGCAGGTTGAACAGTAACCGCTGGGTTATCTACAGAATAGATCAAAATTCCCTCCCACTGGATTTGGTCGAACATTTCCTCCCAACTCGGAGCACTTGCAATTATATGGACAACCAGAAGCATATCATCCTAATTAATGAAAGGAAAACATGGTTTAAGGAGAAGTATCTCATTTGGATATAATGCATATCTATTATATTGATAAAGAGCAACTTTGGACTGCTTTGAAATCCAGATACTAGTCATCCTTGCGGGTTGTAGTAGGATGGAAGAAGGAAGAATAAAGAAATAGATGGATCAACTAATATACATTGGTAATTTTGAAGGAATTAGGTCATTGTAGTCTTTTTACCCTAATATAATCACTTATTTATAGCCTTTTCTGATAATTAGAGATCCTTCTTACTCGCATGAAATCTCATCTGGGCTCCTTGTCCTTCTCATGAGTGTTTTTAAGACCATTGTGGAATGTGACCCAAAATGTTGAAACTGGACCAATCTCGTGAATGCCATTCAGTTTTATGTAACCCAAAGGCTAGTTAGCAACTGAGGAGCAACTTTGTGTCTTTAGACGTGGGAAGAACCTCCAACAAGGAATTATATCAATCTAAAGACTAAGGCCTATGAAAATGGAGTTACATGTTATTATAAAGACTTGTTTGGATGAACACACCCCTACACCAAAAAAAAAAAAAAAAACCTGTGTACTGCAGTGTGCTAAATTATTCACCAGTTCTTTTTTGTTCTATATCACCTTAGCAAGTCAAGATTTCAATGAAACAATTTCAATGCTCTGACCCAAATTATATTTTTGCAGGGATTATTAGATGTTCATGGTGATGGAATGATGGGTCATTGTTTTTCAACTCGGGGATCAAGTGTCTGAATGAAGGCTTTCAAAGTCTTCAGAGAGCTTTTTTTGGTTTTTTCTTATGTAGGTCCCTTCTTTGTGTTTGGACAATGATAAGCTTCTATACAAGGGAAAAGTTATTCGACACTAAATTTGATTAAACTATGAGACGATATGAATTATTGGTAGAGTATCCATTTGTAGATTTTGGTTTTCTTTTGTGGTTGAAATATAGTAGCCACGCTGTCGATTTTAGGAATAAATGAGTCAGTATGTCAATCTGAACAGATTCAGCTGCCAAATAATCTGATTTCCGGTGAAATTGGTGGATAATATCTTTTCGAGTTTTTATTCCCTTAGAGGTGGATATTGTGATTTAAATGTATTATTCATCATCTTTTTAGTAATTCAAGGTGATATGTCGAGTGATAGGCAATGATATAATGCACAGGAATGTCATACGATTTTAATTATTTGTTTTGTCATTTGTAGAACATCATCTTTGTATTTATTCTTGTTATATGGAACACATGTATCTCATTTTGTATGTTAAATTAGCATTTCTTATCATATATTTAATAAAATATTATTTTTATTACAAAATCAATTATATTATAACAATTGGTTAATGTATTATATTAACATATGGGTGACCCAAATAGCCATTAAAAGCATTTTGCAAGAACTGAGAACAGGAAAATGATTTTTGGTGGTTCAACCAATAGGGCTCTCAACAGATGCTCCAACAATTGTGATTCCATAATGAAAACAGAGGCCAAATAATATAATATAATCTATTTTACTGTAGCAAAGATTGGCTTTCCAAAATGTAAGAATTATATGATCAGAGCATGCATTCCCTGAAACCTCTTCCACTACACAAAAGAATCAAAGACTTTGGACTTGTATGGAGTTGAATGGAGACGACAAAATTTGCCCTCAAAACACAACACACTGTAAAGAGGAGACATCCACAGGGTGTAGTGCACCAACAAAAGGAGTCACTTTCACCCTCCTGCTCAGAAACATAATTCTGAGTCATCCCAACTGTTCCAACAATCTTCTGTGGCTTCGATGTCGAGATTGGTGCCAAAAGAGTTCGAGCTTCACAATCTACAGCGGTTTTCATGGGGTACTGACTTAAAAAATGTGTCGACTGAAGGTAGATCCCGAACTCTGTGGATAAATCATATGACGGTGTAGTTGGAGAATAAGTGAATCAGATTGTCGAGAGCTTCGGGGTAAAATTTCCTCGCAAACAAATAGCATGGTCTCTTCATTCCATTCCATAAACAGGGTTTCTGAGTTGCCACTTTCTGCAAAACAAAGAACCCAATACTGTTATTGGTCTTTGATTTCAAAACACTGCACGCACAGATACTCAAGTTTGGCCAATTGATGACTCTTCTGGATATAAATGGTAACAAACATCAAACGGTTGGCTGCAAAGATTTTGTGAAGATAAAGACATGTCAAACATGCAAGAACATGAAGTTCTTGTGGTATTATTTAAAAGCTCAAGTTCTACTGGCTCATCAAATATTATTGGTGCTTAAAACACTATTAAATGAGCAAAATTAATGTTTGTGCTAGTATCGGTCAGTATTTTTTTTCATCCATACTGCTTGATACTAGGAAATCATCAAGATTAGCAGGTAGAATCTGAAAATTGAAATGTCCCTCGTGCTTTTTTATGTTTCTACTGCTGTACTATAAAATAGAAACTGTGGAATGTCTTTTATTCTGCAAATGATAATGTGAAATGTTACCTATTATATGAAAGATAAAGACCCAAAAATAACCAGAATAATACATAGTCAACCACTTCAAACAATTATTGATATTTCTGCATCTGCTTCATCCAACTGTAACAGATAAAACTCTGGGGAAGCTTGGTAGTAGCTTGCAGAGATTTTAAACTATAATTTCCTAGTTTTATGAGCGTTTTCAGTGATCACGACAAACTATATGGCAAGCAAAAAGGGATAACATAAACCAAAAGAAGGGGAAAGCAACAAATCTAAAACACAATTTAGTAGGTTACCTTCTCATCACTGGTAATGTGGTAATTCTCATCAATAGACTGTCAACATCAACCATATCAACCAATGAGAATTTAGAGGGATCAGGACATTTTAAAGTATGAACTTAAATGAAAAAAAAGAAGCTTACTGTTATGTTCTTCAGAAGCTCATAAGTAACATCCTGAGCCCGATAAGCTTTCGGATGCCACTTTCCTTCAGACCAATCAACATGTGTCACCGACCAATTGGCCATTCCAATAGGATCCACCATCTGTATGATGCAAAAATATCCCATCTGTTAAGTGATACTCTACTAAATTACCAGAAAAGCTGTTGCCTAGGAGGGCCAACATATGCAAAATGGTCTCAGGTGCTTACATTGAATAGAGTTGGCAGATAGTGTTCATCAGCATAACAGTTGCGACCATCAAAACCTGGCTGAGAAGGTCAAGAAGAAAAAAACATCAGTATATTTCTATTGGCTGGTCCATCAGCCATTGTCAATGTTATGGGCCTAATGGCAATGACAATGTCAATGAATACCATACCGTTGCTTAATATGCATTCTTAAAAACATAAGGCCAATATGTAGTTTATTGTTGTTTCTAAAGTTTTATTTGCCTTCTTTCTTTGCTTTCCTTTTCTTGTAGTTCTAGGAAACTATAATAATTTAGCTACACAAGAAGCAAAGCTTCCTCAAACATCTATGATGTCCATACTAATAAAGAATATGCATCAATAACTTTAATTAGAAGAGAGCACAAATCTAATGCACAAGACTATGATAAATGTTGAGTCTGAAGAAGATCAAATGTAGGTATCCTTACCCTTGCAATAATTAACTGGCCATATTGTTTAGCTTTATCTAGGCAAGTCAACCCCATTATCTTATGTTTATAGATACTAGCTAATTTTCAATCCTATTGCTTTTGTCTTTAATTTACATATAGAAAACCAAGGATGAGCAATCATGTATTCACCTTGCAATAGAGCTTGAATTTTGTATAATAAAGGTTGTCTGCCAATACTATTAAAGCATGTCGTCGCTTCATTGAGAACCACTGCATTACATGCAAGAATCCAAGTGTCATGAATACTCTATAAAACATACTACATATGCAAACACAACTATTTTAATAAAGAAAAATAAATATTACATCAGCTGAATAGGTATCTCAGGATTTTTTTTCCACACGATTCACGAAATACAGCTCTAACTATAATGGAAGTTCTTATAAAAGTAAAAATACAGTTAAAATGAACAATTAAACTGTTAGGAAATTTACATACATATTGATTGTGCATGCATATTTTCTACTGATCATCAGACCATAATATCATACTTCATCTGGTGCATATCCTGGTCAAACATAACCAAGTTGAAAGCTAGGGCAACGTCATGTTGTCCTTAAGCGGCTTGGTTCAATTGCTAACTCGTGGTGATTTGTGAGTACCTCTAGTGCTAATAAATGTACCACATATAGTTATTCAGATCTTTAATTCATGTTGGCTTTGTTTTGCTTTTCTTCTTTCTTAATATTTTGTAGTACAAGGTAAAGGTAAAGGTATATATTATCTACTTTTTGATATATCCTTGGGACCTCAAATACTCTGTCCAAGTAAAGGTAAAATATTCTAGTTAATTAGACAAAAAAAACTCTAATAAATAGTTCTTCCTTTTATATACAGGTTACTCATACCAGGATGAAAGCTTTGTAGAATTTTTTTTATTATGACATTAAACAATGTACAAGACGCTCACACATGGACATAAACTTGAGAACCATCGATTATACAACAATGCACTAATCACTAGGATGTCTCAAAGAGACTTAATAGAGTTAGCATCTTTTTGCATACCAAGGTTTTTCTTTTTCTTTTCACACAATCTGGCTTTCCTGTGAATTGAAGAAAAAAGAAATGCTTGCCTGTGAACCCTTCCTGAAGTCGTCCTCCTCAATCTCAGGCAGCATATGTTCAGTGTACCTGGCATTTCCATGTGGACCAGGATCCCGGAAGCTGACAATGATGGCAAAAAAGAAGTAACACAACAATTGGAAATCAGTGCATTATCTTAACAGTTAAATAACTTAGCAAAGGAGAAATATGTTATGTGACATTTTTATGGAAAAGAGTAAAGCTTCTTAGAAAATTTGCCAGAATTGGTGAAAAATGTCATGATGTCACAAATAACCAAAATGAGAGAAGTCAAAATAGGTATTAGGAAAAAAATTATGATGATCTTACCTGTCAATGAAACTGACATTCGTTCCCATCAGATAATTGTAGACATAATCAAAATTATGAAGGGGAACACAGCTGTCATATGAGGAATGTGAGTGTCCATGTTGTTGGTATAGCAAACAGGGAAAATTTTGAAAAACATAAAAATCCATTACCTGTCGGAGAGCAACACAAAATGCTGATTCTCAGGGTCTTGGATTGCATTTGCCAGAAGTCTCTTCTCTGCATCAACCATAGAGATCTTACCCCACACAACCTACATGTAGAAACATTTTGTTTTACTTTTTTTCAGAAAATATTTCATTTTTTACATTGCTTCCAGATAATTATAAATTCAAGCTAGTAACAATATCCTTGACTTTTAATTACCTAAAGACATTTCTAAATGATAGCAACCATTTTCCAGTCTGTGTTGTTCCAGTGGTCAATGACAACCAAGTTTGCACATATGATGCATAGCATTATTAATCAGAACAACTTGTTACACTGTACTAAAACATAAGAAAGCTGCAATTTCATCATGAGTTATGATTTCAGCATTTTTACTTGCTATATATCAGAAAGAATCTTTGATAAGCCACCAGAACAGATAGTCAGACCTAGCGGATCTCAATGGCTCTTGCTGTACTTAAGGAAATCTAAGGTATCTCTCTCATGTTCTTGTTGACATTTCATTACCTTGTAGAGCTACCACTCTGACAGCAGTATCTGCTACTACTAGTTAGTGAAGGAGAAAGAAGGAAGACGAGATATCATCATAAAGAAGGGAGATGTCATGGAATTTGAAATTAGTTTATATAATGTAGCCAATTTATTTAAATGTTTTTTTTCTTATTTGTCTTTGCATTACCTAACATAAATGATAAAACTACTGAAGCATCAGGGCTATAGTGGGTCTATCACTAACTTGAGAACTATAGGTGAACAAGTTTAGGTAGTCTATCTAACATACATATAGCAACTTACTATAAAAGGATACATCCATTATTATATTGTATACAATTTTTATATTGTACATTTTATTCTTTTATTTGAGCAGTTAGATGTCTTATGATATATGAAGGTAAAAGGATTTTTAGCATATTTTATTTTTCAAATTTTGCTTTAAATTTTCATAATATTTGACTTTGTTGTGATTTTTATTGATATTTATCTTTGTACCATTCCATCAACAAATCTCAAATCCCCAATCTGACCCAAACGATCATGCTCGTTCCACCTAGCAAATCCAAATTTGAATCTTGTTTAGCAACTCCAGCAGATTTATTTTGAATCTGTTCAAATTCTCTTGGGGCCAGTTTTATGGGCCAAGGTGCAATGACACACATACTGGACCATGCCCTGAAATTTTGTCTGTCCAATTGCTCCAGCCAATCCTGCCCAAGCACAAATCCAACTTGCAAGTTGCAACAGCAATGATAAAACCAGTAAAAATTGAGCTAAACATGCATCTCAATAACATTCAATCCTAACTAGTGTGTAATAGTATGAACTTTTTTGCTTCCAGCCAATAGGTAGGTACTTGATTTTTGTGCAGTAGGATGAGCTTTTTTTGCTTCCATCCAATAGGTAGGTACTTGATTTTTGTGTAATACGATGAACTTTACAGAGAGATTCCTTCTTAGACTGCTAAGCTGCTTCATAAGCCTTGATGGCACAAATTAGTCAAAATAAAGATATTTTCATGCAATAAGACTGGTCTTTCAGTCATGAACGAGAATTGGACATTATGGAACCTGTTCAAAATCTCAGCATGCAACACTGACGAGCATATTATATTGGGAAGGATTTTACTCGTGTGGCTTCAATAATTTGTTTTTCAAGCTAAATATTAGTATCAAGTGTGCTAGCAGGATATAATGCATATTGAGTATTTAAACAAAGTATATGCAACAGTTGAGTAGATATGTAAATAAGAGATAACCAACAATACACTTTTTAATATTGTTATACCATGTATTAAGCATGAACAGAATTGCAGTATCTAGACCAATCAGCTCAGGTACAAAATGGGATCAAGAAAATAACAAAGGGAAAAATCTGTATTAACTAGGACACAACAAGCATCAACTAATTCATGCTGAGAATGTAGGTCACTGAATATCTCATACGATGTGTAGCAATAGCATCTCATTTATAATCAAAGACTTCCACATGCACTGTAGCATACTACATGTACTGCAACAAATTTACACATTGTATTACTCAGAAAAGCCATTGTAGCAATTACCAGTCAGAATTGACTAATGATATTCATGCATGATATCAAAGATACTCATCTTCTTTTATTTAATGCATTTGCTTTTAAAATGATCTTTTATTATTTTCTTGTGTGCAAGTGGAAGCCACTAATAACTTGTATTAGGCAAGGAGAACATAGGTTTCCAAGTACCTTTGAACTTTGAATGTCTCGACCATCAAATAAAGGACTCACGTGGACTGGCTTCTCTCGTGATGCATGTACATAGATGGAGAATCTTCCCTCATGGCCCTGTAAATATAGATTTAGTTATGCACTTCAATCTATAAGCTGAAAAAAATTCTATGTTATCATCATTTGTAGAAGTAACTAGTAAAACAGCTTTAGCGCCTCTTTGACTTGATCTGACATCCAAACAGATGGCCAACTTTTGATGAACTTATTTGCAGTTCACTATTAAACAACCTTCTGGCCAAACCAGATGAGCATTGTATGTAAAATATCCCATGCAGACAGCATTCTATATTATAACAGTAGATAGCACTGTGCTGACCACATGCCTATACATATTAAGTAGCAATTTTATGGAATAGTTAATTTCTGAATGAAAGTTTTGTTTAAGATGATTATATTTGTCATAGAGAGGCCTAGGAGACCATATTGAGCAGGAGGAGAAAATCTTGGATGTGGTTCACTGTTCTCTCCTCTCTTTTACATATGAGTAGGACTTGAGGATTTATCTTTGTCTCTCTTTTCTGAGATGTCTAAAACCAATACCTGGCATGGCTATGTGTTTGTTTATATATATATATATATATATATATATATTATGATGACTGTTTTTCAATCATAGATGGAAACAAGGTGTTTTTCTTGTCAGATTTTTTTTTCAAGAATTAATTAAAGAATATGTTCACATTTTAACATTTACAAGATAAATATGAAAATCTTTTAGCCATGTTATAAAAAAAAATCAATCTCCTGGGTCTTCCCTAAACGAATGCATCTTGTTTTATCCTTACAGAGATTATACTTTATGTAGGTTGGATTGGTTCGTAACTTTTCTACGCTTGACCAGGACCTAGGCAAATGAGTTTTCATACCTCAGCATAACTCCTTCTGAACACAAAACCAGAATTGATAAGGATAAGTTCATAAATGTTCATATTTAAGTATCGTCCATAAGTTCAGCAGGAGGGAACAAGCATTGATTAGAAAATAAATATAAAATAAGAAGGTAAAAGATCAAAAGAGAGAGTAATCTAAGACAAGGAAAATAAAGGTAAGTGTATTTGAAAAGAAGATGCAAAAGAAAAGAAGTGATAGAAGAATGAAATTCACAAAAGATATACACTACAAAACAAATATATTTAGTATGAGGCTGGAGAAAGATAACATGAAGAACTACATTACATGTGTGGGCAAAGAAAAAGAAGATACAAATTTTGACATAAGACCTTCAAACATAGTCCAGAGTTACCTGGACATTTCATGTTTTGGTTTTTACCATGCCAGAAATTTGGACAGTTGGACACATTATAGGCGCTCCTTGATCATTTTATAAGAGAATGATGCTCTCAACACTATTTAAGATTCTGACACTAAATGAGTCATCAGATAACAGTTATGTCAGCTCTAAAAAAGGTTTTGTCAAATCATTATATAGTTAGTCTCGATAATGACTAAATGATTGCATAGTAGTCCAACTAATGACTAAATGAGTGCATAACCAATCTAAGAAGACAATCATTGCAGGAACAATTGTGTACCATGTCTCAAGTGTTTGAAATCACATATCAGATTCTACTGGATGCCTCAAGAGTCCATAGCAATATCATGTTATACTAAACTTCATCGCAGCTTCAATACATTTTGCCTATCTATAACATCATTGTTATAGTACATAAAAGCAAGGATTTTAATTTTGAATAATACCGTCCATACCGGGCGGTATGTACCGGTCCGCCAGTAGACCGGTACGTAGACTGCTCGCTATCGGATGGTACCATCGATTGGGACTGTTTCCGCCCCGTTACCACCCTAAATTGGTCGGTGATAGTCGATTGGGGCTTTCTTCTCCCTCGACTAATACCGGGTGGTATTAGCCGAGAGAGAAGAAAAGGGAGAACCTGGAGATCCAGCGCCGCTTTCCCTCGATGATCTTGATCCATCGCCACCCTCCCTCATCGAACATCGCAAATGAGATATCGCCTCCTCCTCGTTTGAGGCGATGAGGCCTCGACATCATCGGCGACTTCTCCTCATCTGCACAGGGAGAAGAAGCCTAGGCAATGTATCTTCTCCCTACGCAGGTAGAAGAAATGAGGCGACGAGGTGGCGACGTCGCCTTCTTTTTTTAACTTTATACATACATACATACATATATATATATATATATACATATACATATACATACATATACATATACATATACAAATACATATACATATACAAATATATATACATATACAAATATATATATATATACAAATATATATATGTATGTATATACACCAAGCGGTACACCAGAATGTACTGCTCGGTATACCATACCGTAACGAGCTAAGCTCGATACTCCGGTACGGTACGAAATTACGAACCTTGCATAAAAGTACGAAGAGCCATTTTCGAGATCTTTGGTTTCTTGGGCTAATAATCATCCTAGGTGAATCAAATATCAGATACATTGCCATATGCAGATCATTAATTTTCATGTGTTTTCTTGATAAGTCAAATATTTGAATTGGACTTCCACAGGCCTTTTTCCCACAAGTTCCAATCTTCTATATGGTGAGGATCGGTTGTATTATCTAACATGCAAAAGAAATTGTCCTAGAAGTTCCACTCTTCTAAATGTGTTTGATCAGTTGCGTTATCTAACATGCAAAACAAATTGTCCAATAACATGATATACTATGTCTTTTGGCATAGTTCATAAGATGATCTTATGTGTTCTAATTTACAAATGAGCAGATAACACATTAATGATCCAATCATATTTAATAGGTTGATCTTCTTTGACACACATATTTAAGCAGGTACTTGAATACTTTTGAAACCCCTTGCAACATAGAATAAAGGCGATGAAAAATTGTAAAAGAAGCATTCAGTTCATGTAAAAGGAGAACTGCAAAAAATGGTAGTCAAATTAGGGCATTACCAGAAAGAATTTCTCCCAGAGTCTCTCGAAGGGCAGTGAACCAGGAGTCAGGAACATGAAAGCTATTTTTGAATTTTTCAGCTCTACAGACGGCATAGAAAGAATGTTTTTAATTAAAACATTCGAAGCAAACTCATCATCAGTAAGTACACGGGCCGTAGGAGGCAGCAAATCCTTCAAAGGACTACAAATGCTCGAAGAAAAGAAATAGCAAGCTGAATATCGACGAGGTGGATAGACGTATGCCCCAATCAAGGAGACACACACCAAGCATATCAAGATGATAATCCAGTGAGGCCTTCTCGATCTAGATCTACGGAATTGAACTGGAATGATTTGCACATTGCCATTGCGAAATTGCCATGCCTGAGGTATCTTCATCTTGCTCTTCTAATCACAACAGTTTCACCATAATTATGACTTCTTTATCATCAGCTACTACCACGTGATCTGTATGACCAAAGATCATCGGGAATCCACAAGAATCAACTCTCCAAGTTCTCTTAATCAAAATGACAACTTAACTGCAAATATAAGAAAGAACAGGTCGGAATTGTTGCCTCTGGGGGGAAACCCTGGTAAAAACCAGATTGAAAATCCAAGTATCAACTTTTTACCAAGGATAAAACACAAAAATTCCTATAAACACAATACATTTCAGATAAATTCTTCGATTTTCCCCCTTTTTACATTATTATGTTCTCAAAGCTTGAAACAAAAAAGAGGTAAAGAAAGAGTAAGAAACAACCAAAACAAAACATAACAAAAAAGGAAAGGACTAAATTGATTCTGTTCTCTAGCAAAGACAAATACGGCGGTACGGCTTCCAGCTACCAAACACCTCGAATCATTGCGATCAGGAAAAGTAACCCAAATCATTACTTTGAGAACATATTCAACAACCAACACCGATCGTGGAACAGAATAAACCCCACCGACATCAAGCAAACAAATATCAGCCCCGAACCAGTTCTCGAACAACGGAAATGATCAAAATCCGGGCGTTTTCTTTGAAACCAAAGGAAACCGCAGCAAGAGCATGACTTACGCCGATTCGAACGACAAAGCACACGGGAAGCAGCCAAAGATCGAATCTTTGGTCGAGACGGAGGAGCAATTACCTCCGAATCGAAAGTGGTCGACCGGGGACGAGATCAAGCGGCGGAGGCCGCGAGGAAGATGGCGGAGGGAAGAGAGAGAGAGGGAGAGAGGAGAGAGAAAGCAATAGTATATGTAGGCGAGATTTGAAACAACTATTTAAATATTCGTAGATCGAGAACCCTCTCTCTGTCCTCTCTTTTTCTCGCTGCTCTCTGTAAACTGGAATCTCTTCTCCTTCTCGTCGTCACTTTCAAGGAGGAGAAGGAAGCATTCGTCTCTCTCTCTTGATCGCGTCGTGTGTTGTCCGAGAAGGCAGGCGTCCACTGTCGTGCGCCGTCGTGTGGTTGTGGATGCGTGTACCGGTGTAATATACGGCTCAGATAGAGAGAGAGAGAGTGAGATACATATAATTATACGTATTCGTATACGGGAGGCATTGCATGGACCCGCGCCACCACGTCAGCGGTAGAATAACCCAACCGGAAGATGACAAATCGTCCGTTACTTTATATTCAAGTTCTTAGGATAATGTTTCGCGTCCCGATGCTCGCCACACGCCAACCGCACCCTCGAGATAGGCTTGTGTGCCCCACATGCGTCCCGAGGCGGGAGAAGAGCCACATGGGCTGAGGACGTCTGGTACAAATTCTTGGTAGGTATGTGATCCCACTTAGTTCACCACAATATGCAGTAAATTTATCTTTAATTAATCATCAAATTGTTCTTCACATAAAATAATTTTGCATTTAATAAGTAAAATTAATTTGATCATAGTCCATAAGCTAACAACTGTTTCAATGTGCCATAGTAATTAATATTTTTGTCGGAATAATATTTGTGGCAATCATTATTATCTTTCCATGATGAAAAATTCAGTTGTTCTGACCTCAGAAAGGTTTATATGTTCTTTTTATCTTGCATCATATTCTACGTTTATGCACTTAGTGATAGCTGCAAGGTTTGATGTGCAAAGATTGTCTTCGCTGTAAGGGAGAAGGAACCGATCAATCATCCGTTGACAATTCTAAAGGTCATCGGTCAAAAATGTGATGCAGAAGGGAATGAGTTAGTCAACCTCTGAGAGAGAGAGAGAGAGAGAGAGAATATAATAACACAATTTCTCCTTTACATGAACAGTGAAATTGGACCAATTCAATGTCGTGGATAGCTTTCTTATTCTTCTCAGAAGTTAATTTTCTTTTCTTTCTCTGACACCAAAGACTATTAACAGTTTCTCAAGTACTTTGAGCATATTCCCTAATAATTCTTGTCAAATGTTTGACCAAAAAACTCCAATTTCCATCTAGCAAACAAGAACAGCTTCATATCAACACCCACACAAAAGATGATGATGAGATTTGATGAATGAGTGTAAATTACAGCACCAGAGTGTCCTGCAACCAAAGCTTTTGGGATGTAATGAAGCAGAATATTTCCTTCAAGTAAATCCAACATAATCACTAATCATTTAAATCCTCATTCTTCAATTTCATGAATCCATTGGTAGAAAATTCACATTTATGATGCATGTGTTTGATCCTAGAAAATAAAGATACATTAAGCTAGAATAAGAATCATTCATAAGCCTGTTGATGATAGCAGGCTGACTTCTATCAGGGAATGATAGAAAATCTCCTCATCACCTTCTCAGATAGAAGCCAAATGGAAGCTTCTACAAGCTAAGACTCTGCATATAGAGACAGATCATCTGAAAGCCATAAAATAGATTGATGAATGCAATCATTGACCTAACTAAATAACATATATGTTTATGTTATATGAGAATTATTGGACAAGGCACACAATTTGCTGTGGAATCATTCAAATCTACTATATTTCTCTTTCTTAAGCCACTGTAATTCTTATTGTTGACAAGGTCTGATTCCAGAACCTTTCAAGCTCTCTTGAATGGAAAATGGTGGTGCCAACGAGGGTAGCATGTTCTTCCTGGAAGCTGCTATCAGTCATCTTTCCTGGAACTGAGAGCAGAAGCAGCAATGGTTTGACCAGGTGATTTGGCTGGCAGAAACGGGAAGCATCATGCAAGCTAAGAATGAAGACTTGAGGTGTCATCCATAAGAGTTGCCGTTGACTTCACAGGTCATCAGATCGGTTAAGTCAAATCTCTATAGAGAGTTAAAAAGTATCAAAATTTCTACAATCTCTTTCTGACTACATATTTAAATTTTTTTTCTTTCTTGATTACTCGAGATATGATGCAAAATTTTATGTTCCTTCCACTCTTGAAAGTAAAAAACAAAATTTAATTCAGTTGTAAAGGCAGATATTGTCATGAAGGTGGTAAGTGTGCAGAATAATCTTCTCCCAGAAGGTCTGCTTTAGAATTTGAAGCATCAATCTGATGACTTAAGAAGAAGAACATTCTTCCAATCTCTAGCTCAAAGTTCTTGAGGATGCCAATTTAAGATACTAGATATGATTCCTCAAGCTAGTTCTTGAGGTTTCATTTCCAAACCAAAATAAAATAGCAGATGATAACTACAAAAGTCAAATCTTAAATGTTGTCAGCAATGTCATTGTCAGTTGCAAGAAATCAATAAAAACACGCAGTATCAGCTGATGTATGATAACAAAGATAACAAGAAAAGACCATGAATTGAGCCAGTGATTAGAGGAACCATGCAAAAGAATAAGCATATGATGATCTGAGCTCAATTTGATGCCTTAAAAGTCAACCAGAAGAAGATGGTGAGGTTAAGCTCTCATTCTGTAGGAACAGTATTGCATTATAGTCAACAGAAGTTTTCAGACAATGAAAAGCAACATCCATTTCTTGATGGGTCTTCTGTGAGTGTCAGCTTAGGCTTTGGGCCTCTGCATGAGGACTTCAACTTTGATGCTCTGTTGTTCCTGATTCCTATTTGACTACAATAGCAGGGAGAAACAAGCTATTGGGTTGTACCACTCTAATGATTGAGAAGACTTCATTATACACTTAATGAGGATTTCTCATGCTGTTCTGTATAATAAAATATTTTTGTGTGTATTGGAAGTGTAGTTTGATTATTGATACCATCATTTATATGCATTTGTCATCAATCATAGATACATACACCAGAAACAAATTTGCATTTTACTTATTCCAGATCAAAGCAACATTGTTTGATCCAACTGTGTTTAATTGTCTGCACACATGACTCTTCTTCTGCCTGTAATCACTTCCATTTCATCTGAAAGCTTAAATTGATTGGTGAGACTTCATGGAATCCAATGACCTTATTGTTTACAACACAAAACACAATTCATTCTGACCCTAATAGAAAACCTATCTGGGACTCTATGACTTCATAACATTTAATAGAATGAATCTAACTTTATTAGGACATGATCTCTTTATCATGTTTTATCATCACCAACTTATCTGGAAACTGTTGTTAGAAAATATGGAGAAACTTTCTATTAAATAGATGAGACAAACTGGAAGAGTGTGTGTCTTGAAAGTGGTCGAGTGTCCTCCCCTGTTGTACCTGATGGCTCTTAGAATATTAGCAATCTTCCACAGATCCTCATCACATTTCTGCATAGTGTTCCACATGACTTGCTAAATCTATTGCCACTGTAAGTATTAATTAGACAGTGGTGGCTGACAACTTGTTTTAGTACACACCAATGCCAGTATACATTATCAAGACTAGTTTCCATCTGTGTCAGTTCTTGAATCATCCACTAGCACCAATCCAGGATTTGACCAAAGGGTAAGTCAAGTTGCATCAAGGAGATAGAATACGGTTTCCTTGTGTCTTGAGGTGCAGGTTGATCCAGATTCTAGCAGACGCAGCAGCAATGGGCTTGTTCTTGGATTCAGATGAACTGAAGAGCTTAATTCCAACCCTGAGGAACAAGATATGTTGCATCTGAAACAAGAGAAAGGAGGTACTTTGGATCACCAGATTTGGACGGTAGTCAAACTACAACGTGGATCTTAAGATGCTTAGCCTCAAATGATTACAGCAGAGCGGAGTGGAAAGACCAGATGACTCCACATGGGCTCTCTACCCACCTCCCATGTTCTTCCAGGACCTCAAATCCAATAAACAAAGCAATCGCCATTAATGGAGCTTCGAGCATGCAAACAAATTATAGTAGCACACAGAAAAACCTGCACAAAGATCACATGCAATGACAGTAAACACATGAAGATTGAGCACACTGCCGCTTTAAATCCTCGCAAAACCAGCCACCATTTCGTCCCGATCAACACCGTCTGGCTTCCATGGAATCCAAGAAGGCCAACAAGATCACAGAGATCGTGAGGCTGCAACAGATGCTAAGGAAGTGGAAGAAGCTCGCGGTGACGCCGAAGAGCAGCAGCAAGAGCATGAAGTTCCTGAAGAGGACCCTCTCCTTCTCCGACGGTGCATCGACGACGTCGTCGTCGTCGTCGGGGGACGTCCCCAAGGGATACCTCGCGGTGTGCGTCGGCGAGGAGATGCGAAGGTTCGTGATCCCGACCGAGTACCTGGGCCACCGAGCCTTCGCGGCGCTGCTGAGGGAGGCGGAAGAGGAGTTCGGGTTCCAGCAGGAAGGCGTGCTGAGGATCCCCTGTGAGGTGGCCGCGTTCGAGAGCACACTGAGGGTGGTGGAGAAGAAGAAGAAGAAGGAGGGGTTCTGCTACTGCTCGGCGGAGGCTGAGCTTGCGTGCTCCCATCTCCCACCGAAGCCAGTGTGCAGATAAGATGACATGTTTGGCTGTAGGAAGAAGAAGAAGATGATACGTAATACTTCCTCTCCTTCTTTAAACTCCTTTTAGGGCTTAGACAAGCAGAGTGTCTCTGCATGGCTTGAGTTGTGCATGTCTTTTGTAGCTTCAATATCACTTTTATTTCTTCCAATACAAACACTATAAATGTGTTTTTTTTTTTCTTCTTTTTTTCAAGGAAAAATAAACATTACATTGGCCAAAATCTCATGTACTGTATTGTTCTTTTAGTTGGAGGTTCAACCAATATATTTCTTGAGAAAATTTATGTTTTATGCTTGCTTTGATGGAATTTTATCTCTT